GCTGCCTCTTGTTCTGTTCTCTGTCAGGATGATGCCAAACAAATTAAGTTGTTGATGCATGATGGTTCTTTCCTGTTTTTTTATTTCAAAGAATTGGACAATAACACAGTCCTAATCCATAACAGAGCCTCTGCTGTGTTTTACAGATGGCTGTAGACACTCTCTGTTGAACCTCTCTCCTGTCCTTTCCATACATATTAAAATGAATCTGAACCAGAAAAACGTTCAAATTGGGATTAATAACTTCATGGGACCTGTACTTCAATCTTTTCTCCCCATTCCCCTTCCTTAATAATAGCTTCTTGACAGCCACCCTTCCACTGAGACCATTTCTGATGAGGCTTCAGTGAACAGTAAATAGGATGCATCTCTCAGGTCCCGTGTCAGGTCTTTGCAGGATTATCTCCGACTTCTCGAGGTCACGACTTTCAGATAGAGTTCGTCTGCTGTAGATAGTTTTTAGGCCTGCCACTTCTTCTTTTGTCCTCCACTTGCCCAGTTTACTTAAGCGTTTTAAGGACACACTGCACACCATGCTGATATGGCAAGTTTTCAAAAGAAATGGGAACATGTGTTGACATGTTTTTACTCACAACAAAGTGCCTAAAGATACAATTTAAAATTGGTTCCTTGCTAAGGTGTCTGTTATTTGTGGACACAACACGGCATCATTTCTTGAGTTAGTCACCTTTTTGATCCTTGAACAGTTCACAGGTCAATTTGTTATGTGTTTCAACAAGAACACGAATTTTAATGCTGCTATATAAAAATACATTTCCAGGAGATCTAAAATCATTACATGGATTATGCTTATAAAACGTGCTCATAGTCTTGGTTTAACCCTGTAAGATCAAGCCTGCATGAGGGTTGATCTTAGCAGGCCACGTCACCGGGTGACTATTCTTGTATGAAGAACAGCAGATGTTTTTTTTTGTCCCATTGCTGCAGCTGTATAAAATCAAGCATCTAACCGTGCATTGTAAATAGCTCACCAACTTTACACTAACTGTAACAGGATGCCACCATTGCAAAAAGTCAGTTTGTGAAATTCCCTCCACAATCTACTGCAAGTTATATTATTGCAAAGTGGAACCAAAGCAAGGCAGCCGCAAAGTGTCACACCAGGTAAAGTTACAGAGCGTGGTCGGCGAGTCCTGAGGCCCACAGCACGTAAAAATCATCAGTAACTGCAGTGCTCCAAACATGAGCATTAACACAAAAAGCATCAAGAGCTGTTTGGGTTAACGTTGTAGTGCTGTAATTGTAATGTGTAGGTGATTCAGTTCATTTTGTTATACATCCCCAGAAACGTGGATGCGTATTAAGAAAAGGTGCATGATTTGTAGGACTCACTTTGACAATTTAAATGTGTTCCTACCCTTTATACAACATTTTCACAG